GACATCACAGGAGGGGAAGACCCTCTATGAGATGGATTGATTCGGTGACTGGGGTAATTGGGATGGGTGTGTCAGAGGCAGTGTGGTTGGTGCAGGATAGAGCAGGGTTTAGGGCTGTTGTGCATAGGGTCGCTATGAGTCGCAAACGACTCGACGGCACATGACAATAACAACAACAGCAATAGCACAGAGTCATATTTTATAGCTCTTACTGGTCCCTGGCTATAGTTGGAAAAATGTCAGACTTGGTGAGGTCCAGTTGATTGTCCCGTAGGTGTTACACAATTGAATTTTATGCCACACTATTTTCAAGACTATGTCTTTTCGGAAGCAGATTGCTAAGTCTTTTTCCAAGTGTTACTGGATGAGTTCAATCTACAAACCTTTAGGTTCATAGTCAAGGGCAAACCATTTGTGCCACTCATGACCTTTGCAAGGTGTTCTGGTGATATAGTGTGTTGGGGTGCTAACCTAACAAATTGGTCTCTTAACCTAAAGTCATGGGTTTGAATCCACTGGTGGCTCAATAAGAAAGATGTGCAGGCTCCTTCCATAAAGGTTTATAGCCTTAGACAGCTGATGAAGGATTCCCATGCATTGGAATTGACTCGATAGTCATTTGGTGTTTAGAGTTTTGATGGAGCTTTCTTCACCATAGACATGGTTACATTCATTCTAGCAGTCCAAATGGCATGAGAGCTCTGGTGGCTTAGTGGTAAGGAGTTGCAGTGCCAACCCAAAGCACCAACCCAAAGTTTGAATCCACCAGCTCCTCCATAGGGAAGAGTTGGATAATTTCCTCTTGTACCATTTACTGCCTCTGAAAAAACCCCTCGAAGGTCCTCATAGTATAAAACAATAATACATATCATCAATTTTTACTTTTGATAGCTCATGCAGGGCCTCCATGAGCAGACACTCTCAATCTCTGAATCATGAGTAGCTTGAGTCCTGAGCCCTCTGTGGCTTTATCGTTTGGCAGCCCCTCTGGACTTTGCTATTTCTCCTCCCTTGGGCTTCTGTGTTTCTCCTGCTTCCAGTGAGTGCTTCGCTGCCCCATCAGGCATTGCTGCCTCTCCACTTGACAGACCTGCCAAGGATACTGGATTCTTCAAGGAACCAAAGTCAGCTCCCATGCCTTCCTATTACATTCTGTTGTTGTTGTTGTTACGTGCCATCAAGGCAAGATTGCCTCATAGTGACCCTATGAACAACAGATCTGAATCCTGTCCTATCCTGTACCATTCTCATCATCTTTGATACAGTTGATCCCATTGCTGCAGTCTCCTTGACAATTTTTGGTGGTCTTCCTCTCTTTTGTTGGCCCTCCACCCTGGAGTAGTCCTAAAACAGTTATTTGTGGTGTGGTTTTTGCAAAGATATAGCAAAGCAGTTGTTTTGGGTTTTCAATCCTTGGCTTTCCACTTTATAAGAGTCAGATTTGAATGTCAACACAGGAGAAAGAGGCCCAGGCTACCACTACCAGCCATCTGGTTGGGATGCATGGCCTTGGACAGAATGGGAGAAAAACATAGAACAAAGTTCAAAGTCAGGGGGGAAAAGACCAGGATTAGTGGCCTGATAGAGACTGGTGGAACCTCTAAGATTTTGGCTCTTAGACATTCCTTAAACTTAGAGCTGAACCCACACCCAGGGATGACCTTTCAGCCAAACAACACAGAGCCTATACAGCTAACAGTTACACCAGTGAGTAAACATTCACTTCAGAGCAACCATATGAAATTAAAGACAGCGTTTGCCCCAAAACAAAGCCCAGAAGGTAGCAAAGGCAGAAAAGAAGGATGAAACAAGGAAGCAAGGGAAGAAGTGGGAAGAGACTGTTACTTTGATGGCATAACAACTAATGTTATCAAACAAAATGTGTATAAATTGTTGAGTGGAAAACTAATTTGCTCTGTAAACTTTGAGCTAAATCACAAGACACACACATGAACCAACAACAACAACAACAACAAAAATCAAAAAAACCCCAAAAACCAAAAACCAAAACTCCCCAAAAGACAAAGTGAGAGAGAGAGAAAAAAGAGATCCAGGCCAAGCACCAATATCCTTTCATCCTCAAGATTGTTCCTCTCCTCTGACAGCCAAGCCTTCATCCTAAGCCTGGCTCTCTCTCTCCTTGGCACGCATTTGTTCCCAGGAGGCTCCAACAGTGTGCTTGCCAGAGTTTTCTCTCAGGCCATGCAATAAGCCTGAACCTCCCGCAGTGGCCATAGATCAAGCACAAACTTAGGGGGCTCACAAGTGACCACGTGCTCTTGTTTAAAGAAAACGACCCCAGAACAGCACAAGGGATTGATTTTGAGATTGAAGGTGGGTGAGGCTGGGGAGAAGACTTCTGAGACTTCTAAAAAGGAATGAGGGGTTTTGTATATTCAATCAGGCTTTCCGTCTTTCTGCAGAATGACATCTTTGAGTGGTCCAGGGACCACCGAGTCCACCACAAGTACTCAGAGACGGACGCTGACCCCCACAACGCCCGTCGAGGCTTCTTCTTCTCCCACATTGGCTGGCTGTTTGTTCGCAAGCATCGAGATGTCATTGAGAAGGGGAGGAAGCTTGACGTGACTGACCTGCTGGCTGATCCCGTGGTCCAGTTCCAGAGAAAGTAAGTGAACATGATACCATAAGAGCTCTGTCCTCAGAGGGCAGGGCGAAAAGACAGAGCACAATGCGCTACCAGGAATATTCCCCCATGGCTCATCTCACACCACTTCCCCTCATTTATTTGTTAGGCTTTATCTCTATTTATGTCTTTTCTGTTCCTGGTTCCCTGTTTACACATTTGTTTTTAATTTTAATTTGCAGTGAATTTCCTTTAAGCCCAGGGCCTTTCATTTTAGATTAATCTGCCTGACTGATTTCATGGAATGAGTTCTGTCCAGGGTTTCGAACCAGTTCATTCTGATGCTCTTGTGGAGAAATTGCAGCTCCAATATGCTGAAATCTACAGTGTAACAAATCCACGGGTGATCTGCGTTTACATGAGCATCATCTTCAGATCTTGTTAAACTATAGAGTCTATTTCGGTGTGCCTGGGATAGGGGTTGGTGTTGTTAGGTGCCACTGAGTCAAGTATGACTCATGGAGACCCTATGAACAACAGAATTGAACCCTGTCGTATTCCGTGTCATCCTCACAATCTCTGACACATTCAACCCATTGCTGTAGTCGCTGTGTCACTCCATCTGGTTGAGGTTCTTCCTGCCCTTTGCCATCCCTCCACCTTTCCAAGTATGCCTCTATCTGAGGAATAGCCTCTCAAAGCAACTGAGGTGGAAATGCAGATTCCCAGGAGTGGTCAAATTGGAGCGATCCGGTGGGAATCCCTGGACTGTCATTTATCTCTCCTCCCCCAGGCGCTTGCACCCCCTGATTCATGGTGCCCAGACATGGATTGGACTAGTTTATTTTTGTGAAGCATTTGGCTCTCGCAGGTCTGGTCTCTTTCCAGGTGTTTCGTTCCTTCTGGAATTCTTTTGTAATCAAGCCTGCCCATCCCACACTCCTGGAAACGTTGCAATGGATAGCTTCCATGCAGAGTTAAACAATATCCTGAAACAGAGTCTCAGTCTAGTTTATCTTTTGTTATCAATTGACAGTAGCTGAGTCTTTTGATAAGCACTTGAAGAAAGATCATCTGTAACTGTGCTGCCAGGAAGGGAGAGGCTGTTGTCCACCTTTTAACCCAGAAGCTGGCATGTGTTGTTTTGACGTTTATCTGGGTCTGCAGAATTGGGCATAATGGTTGCTATTGTTAGTCGCCATGTGCTACCAAGTAAAATTGCTCAGTAAAGTTTTCTTAGCAATAATCTTAAAGAAAATCCCCAGGCATTTTCTTCTGCAGCACTGCTGGGTGAGTTTGAACCACCAACTTCAGATTCACGCAAACCCTTTTGCCTTAGGGCCATGAGGGTAGCATTTACAAATGGGTTTGTTGCCTTAAAGCAATGGATTTATGTACAGCACAGGGCCATTTATGGCTTGCACACTGGTTGGAGACTTGAGACAATATGGTGAACAAATGGTTCCTGGAGACATTCTCTGCAGATTAAGGCAGGAGTCAGTGAAGGATTTATGTGAAGAGGTTCCTACTTAGACCCAAAATGGGACAGAGTCAATGCATTCGGTACAAGAAATCCTTGCATGAAAGGAGGGGCAGCTTTGAGGTGTAATCCTTTTCCCTCAGACTCTTCTTTACAGTGGAAGACGCAATAGAGCATAGTGAGGAAATAGTGGATCTTGCAGAGAGTCAGCTTAGGCTCAAAACCTCTGAGTCCCACCAGCAGAACAATGAACTACTCTAAGCTTTGATTTCATCCGTAAAGGAGGGGGTAATAGTAGTACCTACCTCCCATGGTTCTTATCTGAAAGTGGGACAATGAATAAGGATGACAAAAGAAAAATCAATACCTTTGAATTGTGATGTTGGCTAAGAGTATCAAATATCTCATGAAATGTCAAAAGAACAAACACATCTGTATTGAATGAAGTACAATCAGAGGGCTCCTCAGAGGGAAGAGTGGTGAAACTCCATCTCACTTGCTTTGGGCTTATTTTCAGGAGGAATCAGTCCTCAGAGAGAGAAGTCAGGGCCAGGAGAAGTAGACGGTTAGCGAAAGAGAGAAGGCGCTCAAGAGGATAGATTGACGAGGTGACTATCTAATAAGCTTGAGTATGACAGAGATAATGAAAATGGCACAGGAGACAGCAATGTTCATATCTGTTGTTCCAAGGATCTCTATGAGTCAGAGGGAGATGTGGGCCTAGAAATAAGAAGCTGCACTGCAATCTCTAAGGAACACGGTTGGAATCCACCAGCGATCCATGGGAGAAGGATGGGCATTCTCCTTCTATGCAATTAACTGCCTCTGAAAACTCAGTGGAGCATCAGCTATGGGTCGGTTTTGACTCAATGGTACACAACAGCAACAACAACAACAACAACTTAAGTTATAGTTGACTTGATGACACCCACAGTTTTTATGAAGCCACTTTTAAAAAAAATGACTGTAGACTGCTGGGCACATAGTAAGGGCTTAGTGAATACCAGTGACTTGACTGCTAATGCACAGGTCATTGCTAATCTAGAGGGCTCCGTGTACTCTTAGCCACCACTTGCATTGGTGTAACCGTAGGCTCTTCTCTGAACTCCTCAGCACAGCTCTTTCCAGCAGACACAGCCAGTATCTGCAGCCAAAAGTAATGGCTGAAAAGAATAAGGTGTTTTAAATTAAAAATGAAATAATTTGTTGACTTTATTAATTTCTTTTTTACTAAGAGACTAAAGGAAGTCATTATAATCCCCCAAATTCCAAACCTACAGCCATCAAGTTGATTCTGACGTACAGCAATCCACCATTGGGTCTCTTGCCTGTAAACCTTTACAGAGGGAGACTGCCCATCATTCCTCTGTGGAGTTTATGGGTAGATTCAACTGGTCCTGTCTCTTAGCAGTCTGACACATTGTGCAGTTTGTATAAACATACTGAATACTCCGCAAAATATAAATAAAGAGAAAAAAATGACCTAGAGTCCTAACGTGATGCTGGGAAGGGTGACAGGTTGTCAAAGAAGAGGAAAACCCTCAAGCAGGTGTACTGACACGGTGACTCTTCCAGTGGCCTCTTGTGTGACAGGAAGTGTGAGAATGGTGCAGGATAGAACTGGCTTCAGATCTTTTGTTTATAGGGTCACTATGAGTCGTACTTGACTCCAGGACACCTAACAACAACAAGAGTCCTAACATACAATCATTGTTGTTAATGTTGTGTGCTGTTGAATTGGAACTGACTTACAGCTGAACCTCCAGCAGATTTTCAAAGGCTGTAAATCACACTGGGGGATATTGCCTGTCTTTCTCTTATGGAGCAACAGGTGGATTTGAACTGCCTGCCTTTGAGATACCAGAGCAACTCCCTACTACTAAGCCACCAGAGCCCTCTAATAACCATAGCCACTATCAACATATTATGGCATTTCTTTCCATTTTATGTATGTATTTGATTTTTTTAAAAAACACGATTGCAATTATACTGCCCATGTAATTTTATGCCTCACCATTTAATTATGATTATATTATAAGCACCACTGTCAAAGGCTGCATAGCAATTCATCATTGGTAGATTCATAGTTTATTTAACTATCACTCTGCAGATAGATACATATGCTATTTCTAATTCGGGGATATAAATGGTACTGCAGTACAATTAGTAACTCGTTGGGACAATCAAACCTTAGATTAACTAGAAGAGATCAGATAAGGCAGCAAAGGATCTTCTGTTTTATTAATGAGAACCGAGGAGAGTATAATAGTCTGAATTTCTTAGACCATAAAAATAGAAGGCGTATTAATTCTTTTTTTGGCTTTCCCCTCTTGAAAATACAGTAATCAGATCGGGTTTTGTGTACTTATGGTGCACAGCATGTCCAAACACTGTTTCTAAGTGCAGGTGGTGGAACACTGAGACTGTTTCAGAAAGCCTTCTCAGCAGCCATCCAGGAAAACTTTTACCCACCCCACTCCAGCAACCATGAGGGGCTGAGGCTGGAAGCCGTCCACTCTTTCCACTATTGCATGCACACTGTTGATCTCCTGCTAGGAGCTGGTGCTGAGGACACAGCCTTAGAGATTGGCTCCTGTCCACCCCGAACTCATAGGCTTCTGGGAAACACACAAGGCAGTTTTTAATTCGACCTGATTAGCAATGGTTCTCACAGAGGACCCTGGAAACAGAGGCCTCTCCACCATTCAGGGTTGGGGAGGGGCTGAGAAATGGTCCTTTTTGGTGTATTGCTGACAGCACATTTGACTATTCAATGCTACTGATAACCTGTTACATTAATCGTGTTGTGTAACTATCACCCATAGTTTCTGACAAGTTTGAGGAAGGCCTTTTGAAAAGAATCAACTTGTAATCTAAAATGTGAAAGTCAGATTGGGGGAGAGGAGAATATTTAATATGCAGGTCATTTCACAGAACTGCCTGGAAACATTGAGAGGGCTTCTACAAGTCACTTGGCCCATGCCACCATTTTTCTGTGAGGAAGCAAAGGTATAGAAAGGTGGGGCTGGAAGTACTCCCAACTCAGAAGACTTGTTCAATGTTCTTTTGGTTATATATTGGTGCTTGAAAAGGGTTACAGTAATTAATGTGTGCGTGAGCACTCCTGCCCTTTGGTAATTATCCAGCCTCAAGAGCACAGAGATCCGGGAATCAAACGAAGGTTTAGAATCCCTGAACTAAATGAAGGAAGTGCACAAAACACACAGAGATTGGGCAGTCATTTGGGTGCTTTTCATGTTCGTGAATCTGGCTTTACCAGTCCTGCCAGTCAGGTCATGTGGAGGAGACAGTTTACAGGAATCAAGTCTTTGCATTGGAGCTGTGAGCTGCAAGGAGTGGCTCAGTCATTATGGGTACTTTCATACTAGGTCTCAGTGGAGGGCGTCCTGGGTGATAGGAGGTGTGCCTAGCAGGGACTGGGGCACAATGGCATCTTACAATGAGTTCTGGGCCTGGGCAGAAGTCTCACCTACTCGTTTATGGCTCTATCATGGCGGCAGGATGACAGCCTCTGTTCCAATGCACGGAGGCTTGGTTCTTG